AAAAAAAAAAAAAAAAAAAAAAAGAGAAAAGAAAAAGAATCTGAATAGAATAATCAGTGAATTGCAGGATCTTTTGAGAGGTTATCTGTCTATCGGCACCTTGCCCACCCTGGCTGACCTGCTTCATCTCCCTGCTTCTCTGAAAAGGTTCATTTAGACTCCTGTTGGTTGGCTCTTTTCATACTAGAAACCCTTGTTCACTCACCTGGAAGGTGCACTTTTTGCTTCATGTAGTTCCCTGATGCTGTGTGTAAGCCCTTATTTTTACTGTTTCTAGTTGAGGTAAAAATAGGCTATTCACTATCCTCAGAGTGGGTGTTCTCAGCCCTCACACATTTAGGAAGTGAGCACTGTTGAGTTGCCCTTGTCTCTTCTCCAGACTTAATAACATGTCTTGAAGGCTAGCATACTTTGCCTGCACCTGCCTGTGGGATCTAATTTGTTAGAGAGGGGAGACCTTGTGTTTGCAGACGCTCCCAGAGGAGGCACACTTAGTGCTAGCAATTCTTTAATGTAGGGACGATGAGGAGGTTTACGACTGAAAGAGTAAGGATTAGTTGGGGGTTAAAGAATACGTGGAAAAGGATATATGAAGTGCTTAAGAATGCAGGGTGTGATGCTGGGTTGTCTGGTTGGAACTCCAGCTCTGCCAAGTGCTAGCTGTGCTACCTTGTACAAATTACTTACCTCTCTGAGCCTCAGTTTCTTTTCTATAAAATGAGATGGTAAGGGAATCTTCTCTGAGTTTTTGTGAGGATCGTAAGTGATTAATTTGTGTAAATGGCCTACCATAGCACCAGGATATTTTATAATTAATACATCTTCATCCTCAGCCTCATCATGGTTATTCTCACTCCTTGTCTAGACTATGAGCTCCATGAGGACCAGGGCTGTGATTTACCGGGCAGTGGAGGGGCTCAGCAAGTACTTGCTGCACAAGAGAGCAAATGGTATCACTGTTAGTTGTTCCTTGTGCTTTTCTATTTTAGGAGTGATTATTGAGTTTTCCTCTTTGCAATCTTAAAGTCATTAAAATCTTAAGTGTAATTTTGGAAAGAAAAGAGGATAAAATACCTATACTTTTACCAAGCTAATCATCTTTCTCCACTTTCTCTATTCCTGTTTGGTCCCTCTTTAAGTAGATCATTGTTCCAAGATAACTACTCCCTTTTCTTCATGCCCATGGGAAAAGTAGACACCCTGTTTCTCTGATGTTGGAGTTGGCCTTGTGATTTGCTTTGGCCTCCTGGGGTTGTGGGGAATGTACTTTCTCATTGGCTGACTTTGGGCTCAGCCCTGTGATTTCCTTTGACCATGGTATGTCAGTGAACATTATCTGAGCAGAGGGTTGATGTGCACTTATGCAGTTACACTCACCCTTTTGCACCACTGCCATTACCACCGGCAGAGCTTCCCCTAGCTGGCTGCCGCCCCTTCCACTTGGGCCCCACTGAACTTGTACGGAGCAGAAGTGTGCCCCGTCTGCACCTAGGAGACAAATCTAACTGGACCTGCGGTTTGGAGCAAAGCTTCCCAGCCAAGCCTATTATAAATGTGTAGCTCTATTGCCAAGTAACAAGCATATCAAATGGTGAGCATAGTTTGCACAAAGGCACAACATAAGCATAATACTATTTTATATTTGCTTTAACTCATTATGTGCTGAGGTTTTTTATATTAATACATAGTTTTAAAAATAATTTTAGGCTGTGCATAATACTTTATCGAATTTACCCAGAAAATGGTAATTTAGCAATTTTGACTCCCATATATCAAGGACTTAGTGTGCAGTTACGGTGCTTTGTATACATTTAACCCTTTCAACGGTCCCACAGGAAAGCCTAATTCATTATTCTGCATTTTCTAAGTCAGAGGTGGTGTGGCACAGATTAAAGACTATGGACTCTGGGGCCAGACTCTTTAAGTTTCTGTGTTAGCTTTGCCACTTAGCCCTGTGACCTTGGGAACCCTCTGTAGGCCCTGTCACCCCAAAAGTCCATGGTGGGAAGCAGAAAGAATAGACCAATGGTTGGCAGTCAGTGGGGGTAGTTGGGCTGAGCTTTTTCTTCTAAGTTTATGACCTGGGGCTTTGTGTTTTTATATAGTTCTTGGAGAAGTAGTTTGCCAGGAAGGATGATAATAAGCATCACTTCCAATCAAGGAGGGGGAAGGTAGCAAGGGCATGAGAGTCTTCTAATTTAATTTAAAGACATAAGATGGATGGGAATACATTTGTGTTTGAGTGTTGTGAAGTTCCTCCAACCAATTAGAGTCATAATTCCTAAGAATTGTTTAGAGTCAATGTTGGCAATGTCTCTGTTTTTCAAATGGAAAAAAAGTCAAGTGTGCATTCTTCTGATTGACCCTCCTATTTCTGCAGTGCCCCAGGAGTGCAATGGCTGAGGTAAAAAGTATGAAATTTTAAGTGTGAATTGCTTTTATATTCAGACAAAAACTATCAAACTTTGTTCATATTGCAAAATAGAAAAAAAATCATATAGCTATTTAATGACATGGAAAAATGTTCTCAACACAGTGCCAAATAAAAAAGCAAGTTCATTACCAGAATATTCAGTGTGATCTCCTTGTGCAGCATTAAATGGGGATATTTCTGCAGAGAAAAGGTCTGGAAAGATGTATTCCAACATGCTCACTGTGCTTATTCTTTGTTTGATGCAATAATAGGTGCTTTTTATTTTTCCATTCTGCTTATCTGCACTGTTTGAATATTTTTATGACAAACATGTATTGCTTTTGTAATAAGAAAAAAAGTGCAACATAGGCTTTTAGTTTTAAAAACTGAAAGCAAATCTAAACAAGTAAAACGCTGCTGCCTTTGTGTTCAGGGTGGCAGGATAGTGAGGCTCTTTCATCTAAAGGGTGTATGGATGTCAGGGTTGGAGGATAATGACTCAGAGCCTGGAAATGCAGCTGGTGGAACAAGTTTCAAACAGGAAGGTTCTTGTGGGGTGACCCCTGGGGTCAGCTACAGAGCTTACTGTAGATTCCAGCAAGCAAGTAAGTGGATCCAGAGGGTGAGGGTTGGGTAGTGCATCCCAGTTGAAACAAAGCAGCTTTGATGTGCTTCCCAGGGGAAATGCTTCAGGAATGGAACGCCCTGCTCTCTCAAAGCCATTAGAGTTGGAAGCATCTATCATGTCCAAAGGGAAGATCCATCAGCCTCAAGTCAATCACAAAGGAAAATATTTATCCCTCCCAGTATAGAAATGGGTTAAGCAAAGTCTTGGAACCCCCCCCCCCCAACCTCCCTTCCTACACTATAGAGCTGTTTTGTTTTCTCTCGCTTTCAGTTATGTTTGTAATGACTTTTATTGACACTGACATTCAGTGCTTATACCGTGCTTTTCTCACATCTTTCAGCAGAGCAAGGCAGTGGAACATGCCACTCCACATTCTGAGATGAAAAGGGACCAAGGCCCAGGACTCTGGGCTGTGCAGAGCCCAGGGTGTCCCAGAGCCTATAATGGGCAGCCCCTTCCTCTGAGTCTGCCCACACTAGCCCTAACTAAGTCTGGGATGATGTGAAGAGGGGAATGTACCTTGACCCTCTTGCTTTGGAACAATGAGATGTGGAAATGTTTTATGATGGTGTGGGCTTTCATTTTAAGGCCAGTTGTCTTTAAAAGCCTTTTCATTAAGAGCTATAATATGATGCCAAGAATTTGAGCTGGAGATAGACAATCCTTTGTTCAAATCTACCCATTACCATAGGCTGGTTGTGCACTCTGGGAAAATTTACTATTTTTGAGACTTAAGTTTTGACACCTATAAAACTGAGATTACTTTCCTAGGTTGTACAAAAGGATGTCAAAATCAGAGTGCTCAGGCTCACAAGCTTCAGGCAGAGGCCTGCCATACTATCTGCTGCAGCCAAAGGCCTGCCTGGAAAAGAACTACACAGGTAGATGCACAAACAACAACCAGAGGCTCACCCCAATACCACTGATAAGTGAATGGAGACCCTAGCCAGAAGCCTGTGCCGACAACAGGAACTCGGGTGCACAGCCCCCAGCCAAAGGCCCTCTCAGACAATAGATACGTAGGGGCTCCAGCAATAGGCATACCTAGATACCATCCCAAGTGTGCATAGGCCTCAGACAGAAGCCTGCCCAGAAAACAGGTCAGCTCAGGAATCCAGAAGGTCACCATTCTGAACCCAGGAA